GAAGAAGACTCTGATAAAGTCCCAAGAAAAAAAAAACAAAAAAAATGCACAAAGTGAAAGAGCAACGCCGATGCAGAGGTGGAGGGGTGGTGGTTTTTTTCGTGTTGATGGTGAGGTGTCGGTACACCTGAAATGTGTTCCGCAAATATTATTTTTTATGCAAAAATAACAACATATTCGTGTTCTCCTTAATTTTCTCTTTAATAAAATACCCTAATTATATATTTTATTTATTTTTTTTTTTTTCTTCTGCTGCTGCATGTGCGCAGTGTCTACGCAGCAGAAGCCAGCGGGGCCATCCATGCCACCGCCGCCATTGCCCCTGTGGTATTCTCGGTGTTTTTTGTGTAGTTTTTAAGATTTGTAGATGTATTTTGATTTCTTTTTCATTTTATTTTGTTTTTATTCTTCTTTTAAACTTCATATCACCCCAGTTTCTGCACGCCTGCAGCTGCATTCACGTAGTGAACACCCCGCAGCAGCCCCGGNCTTCATATCACCCCAGTTTCTGCACGCCTGCAGCTGCATTCACGTAGTGAACACCCCGCAGCAGCCCCGGCGGCGGCACAGCAGCAGCTGGCGGCTCTGCGTGTTGTGGTTGTGCTGCTGCAGCAGCAGCAGCAGTTGCTGCAGTTGCTGCTGCAGTTGCTGCTGCTGCTGCTGCTGGATTTAAGTGCTGCTGCTGGTGCTGCAGCTCTCGTTGAGCTGCAGATACACCCGGCGTTGCCGGGCCCCCAGGGAGGAAACCCTTGTTGGTGCAGCAGCAGAATCGATGCGTGTTCTTTCTCTGCTGTGTCTGAGTTGATAAAGCAGCAGCAGCAGCAGCAGCAGCAGCGTCTTCGGCTGTATAAGGGGTTTCTCCGCTTGATTTCTTCTTCTTTTCTCTATCTGTACGTGTTTCTCTAGTATGCATGCATACAAGCATGAATACTATACATAAACGTATCTCTATATTCCTGTTGCTGAGGTGTATGTTATGTTGTGTTGTCTACGTTTGTTGCAGCTGAACTGATGCAGCGAGAAGCAGAGAGAGGAGGAGGAGGAGGAGGAGNGAGGAGGAGGAGGAGGAGGAGAAGAGTATGCTGGGGGCCCCCCAGTCCCTCCAGCACCGAACGGCCGGGGGGCCCCTTCTTCATGGCGTTCTTCAGGGGATGGAGAAGGGTACAGAGGGGACGAGGGTCGATGGGCCCCCCAGCAGCAGCAGCAGCAGCCATGGCGGAGCAGAGAGGGGGGTGGTGGGGGCCCCCCCCGAGGCGGCGGTGG